GCCCCAATCCGCATTTTCTAGGATTTCTCCCCCCTGAATTTCGTAGGACGCAGACTTGTGTTTCTCCATAGCACCAGCTTCCGCCGTGATGTGTCTATGGGGTCGGAAAAATGGCCGGCCACCATCCCACCCCAAAGTCACCAAGGCCAAATCCATATGGCTGCTTTCATGGCCAATGACAACCAAGATGGCGGCTCATGGGCCAAGGTTCCCAGTCTCCAGGTGATGGTTCCATCCTGACAAGGTCACCAACAATGGTCCAAAGGGACACGCCACCCATGTCACCAAGGCCACAGGGCTGCTTTCGATTAATGTCAACTTTGCCCTATGGCCAATGACAACCAAGATGGCGGCTCATGGGCCAAGGTTCCCAGTCTCCAGGTGATGGTTCCATCCTGACAAGTAAAGGTCACCAATGATGGTCCAACGGGACATGCCACCCATGTCACCAAGGCCACAGGGCTGCTTTCGATTAATGTCAACTTTGCCCTATGGCCAATGACAACCAAGATGGCGGCTCAAATGTCCCCTCTCTTTCTCATAATCCCGGTGGTCACCAACAACCGCCGGGGAAGACGACAGACAGCACGTGACGTGAATTTGCGACACTGTGACACTTATGACAGGAGGAATTCTTGGGGAAAAGTCCTTTTGTGATCCCAGAAGTTGTTCGGGACTGAGGTAGCGAGGCAGAGGTGAGTGATAGTTGACTGACTTTGTCACTGAGCACAGAGGACTTAGTCCCTGGACTTCGTCCCTGTCACCAAGTTAGGACTGAGCCCTGAATTCTTCTACCCAGAAAACAAATCCGTGCAGAAGACCTTGCATCCGCCATGACACCTGACATCCTTGAGGGTGTCCCCAGTGGGATTTCGTCAACGGACATTAGGATTTAAAGCAAAAAGCCCTTTGTTGTGTTGCGTACTTTCGAGATGGGGTCTCTCTTTAGACCCGGAGCTTCATCTGCTCTGTGCAGCTGGGATTGCAGGCAGGCGCCACCACACCCAGCCATTGCTGGAGATGGGGTCTCCTGAGCTTTGTTCCCCAGGCTGGCCTCGAACCACCATCCTCCCAAGTGGCCGGGATTACAGGCGTGAGCCACTGTGCCTGGCCACGTTGTCCTTCAGTGCGGAAAGGCAACCGCCGAGGTGCCTCTCAAAGATACGTCTAAGTGTCAGTCAACGTGCACGGACGTTTTGGTAAAAGGCTAAAGAAACGGAATTTGCATCCTGGAAGGCTCAGAGGCACGGCGGGTGGAGCAATGGCCGCTAGCTTTGTGAGGGAACGACGCGTGAGTGAGGAAAAGAAGGTGACAGGGCCACAGGTGACCTTACGACAAGAACCGGTCCAGCTTCTCCTGGATGCGGACGAAGGCGTCCTTTCCCAGGTAGTCGATGTGTCCTGCCTCCCATTTCCGTCTGTCCTCGTCCGGGCTCAGCTTGTCCCCGATGGAAATCTCAGACACAGCCGCGGCCAGGTCACCCTAGGGAGATTTATCGCTTTTGTTTTCGATGAAATACACCCCAGACAAGTTTTTTTTTAAACCCAAATTGCTTGAAAGTCTCTAAAATGTCATCGCAGGTGCTCAGATTTCCTAAGAATTGTTCTAATTTCCACCCCGAAGCACACGCTTCAATCTGCCGAAATATTACTTTCCCCCGAAAAAGGCAACTTTTTTGAGCACAGGGGACCCAAATGAAGAAATATGGAAATCCCCATGTCCCAAAGATGCTCAGACCCTACAAGAGACTCACACAGCCATGACCCCAAGCCTTTCAGGGGCTCTGCCAAGTGAACCTCAGGCTTATCAGGAAACGTTGGTGACACGGTGGCGAAGGCTTTGTGCTAGTGGGAGGTGGTGGAACCTTCAAGAGGCGGGGCCTAGCAAGAGGGTGTGAGGTCACTGGGGGCGTGGCCTAAAGGGGAGATTGATGGGTTCATAGCTCAATGGGCTGAAGGGAAGGGGTGGTGCCTCCAAGAGGCGGAGCCTAGTGGAGGAAGTGAGGTCATTGGGGGCGTGGTTTGAAGAGATTGATGGATTCAAACCTTAACTGGCTATTAGGAGGTGGTGAATCCTGTAAGGGGCGGAGCCTAGTGGGAGGAAGTGATGTCACAGGGGGCATGTCCTGGAAGGGGAGATTGATGGACTCAAAGCTTGATGGGCTACTGGAAGGTGGTGGGAGATTTAAGAGGGGAGGGGCCTAGTGGGAGGAAGTGACGTCATTGGGGGCGTGGCCTGGAAGAGTTATAAATTGTCCCTGGTCCTTTCCTGTCCTCTCTCTTCTCTCTCTTCCTCCTTCCTTGCCCCTCTTTGTCTGTCCATTTCTCTCTGTCTCTCCTCATCTTCTTTGCCATGATGTGAGCAGCTTGGCTCCACCACCTGCTCCCACCATCTTATTCTGCCTTCTATGGCCCAAAGCCATGGAGCCCAGTGACCATTGACTGACACTATGACCACACCACCTGTTCTCCTCTTGAGCTGACTCGCTCAGAACTTGCTCAGGCGTTTTGTCACAGTCACCAGCCAAGCAAAGAGAAAGGGTCCCCCGTAATCCTTCTTGACAAAATGAAACCCCACTAAGGACAACTCACGTGACCGGAAGTTTCGGCTGTGTGCAGCCAGAAGGTCCCAACGTCTCCAGGAGTCACCTGAGCTGTGGCATCCTGGACGAAGGTGGAAAAGGTGTTTACCCAATGACAAGTGTGCTGTCTGTGGGGGATGTTTGTTATAGCAGCTAAACCTCCCTGACACATACGGGATCAGGAAGCGAGCCTGTGCCTATAAGCTGAGATCTTAACAGGTCTGTAAGTCACTCAACAAACAAGCACCATCCACAGAGTCTAAAGAACATGGAGACCTTTGTGAATCCTCACTGCTAAATTCACGGGGCTGGGTAGGGCTGGATTTGAACCCTGGCCAGGCAGGCCTAGGGACTCCCATCCCTAAAACACAGACTCCCAGGCTACATATGCCAGGGACAATATATAACCCTCAAGGCCACACCTCCAGTGACATCACTTCCTCCCACCAGGTCCCGCCCCCTAAGGCTCCATCACCTCCCAACAGTCCATTAAGCTGTGAATCCATCAATCATTCCATGAAGGCCACGCCCCCAGTGACATCACTTCCTTCCTCTAGGTCCCGCCTCGTAAAGGTCCCACCACCTCCCAATAGCCCATTAAGCTTATGCCTGGGATTTCGGAACGCATTGACCCTGACTGAGGCTGAGAAACTGCGGCCGTTTTAGGGGCAACTTTGGCCATTTACGTATCAACTGGGGGATCAATTTTGCATTGCACAGATATTTATGGCGGTGGATGGTGAGGTTTGAGGAGAGGGATTTGCAAAGTCAGGAAGGTCGCCGTCAAAGGTCAGAGACCGGCGCTCAGCTCCTATCTCAGGGATGCAGTCGGAGGGGAAGAAAATCTGACACAAAGTCTGACTGGAGAGCTGGGGTCAATGATGAAGATTGAGGACGAAAATAAGCTGAGAAAATCACTTCGGGCCAGGCGTCGTGCCTCACGCCTGTAATCCCAGCCACTCGGGAGGCAGAGATCGGGAGGATCACAGCTGGAGGCCAGCCCAGTGCTGTAGAGTGGACCTTTGCCGAAGGGAGTATTACTGTAGCATGAAGAAGGAGGCAGCCCAGGGAGCCTCCGCGCCTGCGCGCCAAGCACTCAAGGAGCCTTGGGGAACGTGAGGGGTGACGTCACTTCCTGCTCCAATCAGGAGTGGCATGCAAATGCCCTAATTTGCATAGTGACGCAATTGGCGGGGAAGCCTGCACACGAGTGCATGTAAAGTGAATAAAAAAACGCTGGACGTGACCCGTCCGCACTGCACACACACAGATGTCTGACTGTCCGTCACACCCGTGTGGACGGCAGGTACTCACGTCTGCCAGGGACAGCGGTGTCGTCTTCTCTGCTGCCACCGTCCGCCCTCCAGCAGGTCCCAGGGCTGCTGGGTTTGCACACGGCACCTCGTCGCTGGCTGCTGCTGAGTTTGCACACGGCACCTCGTCGCTGGCTGCTGAGTTTGCACACGGTGTCCCAACAGCACGGAAGCAAAGCTGCGTGCAGAAAACCGTGGACGCCCTAGGTGAGTCCCCATCCCAGGTCAAGGGAGCCCCTGTATATGCAGAGGGACTTTTATTTTGCAAGGGAGATGCAACCGGTCACAGAAATGTCCCTATATGGAAAGTAGGATGGTAAGAAAAGTGACTTAAAAAAACATGAAATTGGGGTCAATCAAAAAAAAAGTTTAAATCTTGTTCGGATATCTCCTGTGATCCCGTGATATCTCAAACGAACAAAAAAAAATTGTGTCGGCCTCATTTTCCCCTTGGTCCTGCCTGGTTTTACTCTGATTTTAAAAAAGAGAGAGAGAGAGAAAGGTTTAATCTAGAGAGAGAGAGAGAGAAAGGTTTAATCTAGGGGAAAATGACAAGAAAAAAAAATCTAGTTCCAGTATACATTTCTTCCAGTATTTACGTGACCCATGCAGAGTGTTTGTTGACTGCATTCGCGTTTGAAGGAAACATACGCGGCAGAGAACAAGGAAGCTCATCTTGTTTTCCAGCCCCTCACTTACGGGGTGAGGCGGAGACTCGGGCTTCTGGGGGGCTCCGAGGCTCTGGAACAGAGGCCGCACGCTGTCCTGGAAAATCTGCCACCAGACCCCGAGAAAGGACGCCTCTTCCCGGCTGCCCACCGCGGGGTCCGAGGCCGTCTGCGGGTTGCTGCTGTAATCCCACGGCTTCCTGGACCCCAAGAAACGCACGACCTTGGCACCGGACCCGAACCTGAGGAGCAAGGTGACAAGAACGCCGATGTGGCAAGGGGGGTCTCACCAGGCCGCTGGGATTCAAAATGGCGCCTCGGCGGACGACTCACTGCTTGAAGGCCGGGCCGTAGGTGTAGGCCGTGCTCACGCTCAGGCTGTACACGAAGGGCAGGCGTTTGCGGATGTCGCCCGTGGCCCAGTCACTGAAGAAGTCATTCAACAAACCTTGGTCGGCCCCTGAGAGTCATCAACAAACACATGCACGCAAACAAAAAGTCGTCAGGATGCGTCTGCGGGACCCGTTGCTTGAGATGGGGTCTCGCCAACTATTTCCCGGAGCTGGCCTCACACCACAGTCCTCCGGGTCTCTGCCTCCTGAGTGGCCGGGATTATGGGTGTGAGTGAGCCAGCAGGCACCCTGGTTAAAAATATTTATTTTCTGCCTTTTACACAAAACTTGGGCGCTCCTGTTGAATGGGCCTGACTTCCATTGCACAGGTTTTAAAAACTTCTATTTATTGCATTTACTTATTTGTTTGCTTGTTGAATAACTGATTGACTAACTGACCGATTAATTGATTGACTAATAGGGATTGAGCCCAAGGCAATGTAACTGGACTAAAGCCATCTGCCGCTGGGCTCCACCACCAGCTCCCAGCCCAAATTTGGGGGTTCGGGGGCGCTGGGCATCGAGCCAAAGACACACGCCGTGTCTAGTACCCATTACCATGTTTGTTGATGTCTTTCTGTGATCCAAAAGGGTCCCCTTATCTTTGTCTGCAAGGTAGAAATCTGGCTGGTGCCTCGGAACCCCAACAATCTCGGGGTCCCCTGCTCACCGTCGAAGCTGCCGTGGCGGGCCGCGTGGCGGAGCAGGAGGCCATGGGTCTCTAACGAGGGTTCGAAGACGAACACCCCACTATTGAAGCAGTCAGGCCACCCAGGGTCGGGGGCTGCTGACAGCTCCGCCCGGTCGAACAGCTCGTCCACGTTGCCCAGGACCTGGGGACACGGGACAAAGGCGACACGACCTCATGACGCACGGGAACCCGTTTCTTGCAGGGTGCACATGGGTGCCCCCCTTTTTCTTCTGCAAGAACCTAAGACATCGAGTCTTGTTTTTTCAGACAGTTATCCTATGCTTAGAATCCGGAGTTCACAAGTGAATATTCGATCTACACAAAATATTTTCAGTCGATTATCCTAGGTCCAAGGGGAACAGATGAGTCATCAAACCCTTAATGGACCTCCAGTGATTAATGTCCCCAAATACCACTTCTGACAAACCCAATGCTCATGAAATGACTATTGTACCAGGGGGGGATTTTCATCATCCCCCTGGGGGACTCCTAATTTGTAGGGGGATTTCCTTCATCCCCTTGGGGGACTCCTAATTTGTAGGGGGGATTTCCATCACCCCCTTGGGGGACTCCTAATTTGTAGGGGGAATTTTCATCATCCCCCTGGGGGACTCCTAATTTGTAGGGGGATCCTCATCATACCCCAAAGTCCCCGGTACCCACAAGGGTGTTGGCGTCCAGGAAGACACACTTGCGGTACTGGGTGAGGGTCCAGCAGTGCAGCTTGGTCAGCGTCACCCCCAAATCGGGTCTCCTCAGGAAGGACAGGTGGACGAGATCCCCGCTGTCCATCAGATTGACATCCACCACCTCATCAAACAGCCGGGACAGAATGACCCTGGACAGACGTGGGAAAGACAAGGCTCACCAGTGTCACCTCTGTCACTGTGAAGGTCACTTTCCCTCCACCCCAACGGACACCCCTCCCCACTGTCATAACGAGAAGTCACTTTGCAAACACCACACATCCCCCACGATGTCTGCCCCACCCCCCAGGCAGGATTAACAAGGTGACGTCACCGACACCTGGGATGCCCGGGTGTCACTTGTCGTCTTACCTGAGCAGGGTGGACACCTGCGGGGTGACCAGCACCACCAGCTTCCGGGTCGTCCCGTGATCCCGCAGGGACTGGGCCAGCACCAGGGCACCCTGGCAGTAGGTATCAGTGGTGGCCAAGGTGACAAAGGCCTGGTCGGCCACTGCGGACAGATGGACACCAAGAGCAGGGTCAGTTTCTCTAAGCTGTTGTCTCAGTAGTCAGTCTACAATCACCCGAGTCAGTCTACAATCACCCGAGTCAGTCTACTATCACCAGAGTCAGTCTACAAACACCGGAGTCAGTCTACTATCACCCGAGTCAGTCTACAATCACCGGAGTCAGTCTACTATCACCGGAGTCAGTCTACTATCACCCGAGTCAGTCTACTATCACCGGAGTCAGTCTACTATCGCCCGAGTCAGTCTACTATCGCCCGAGTCAGTCTACAATCACTGGAGTCAGTCTACTATCACCGAGTCAGTCTACAATCACCGGAGTCAGTCTACTATCACCGGAGTCAGTCTACTATCACTGGAGTAAGTCTACAATCATTGGAGTCAGTCTACAAACACCGGAGTCAGTCTACCATCACCCGAGTCAGTCTACCATCACCGGAGTCAGTCTACTATCACCCGAGTCAGTCTAATATCACCGGAGTCAGTCTACAATCACCGGAGTCAGTCTACTATCACCGGAGTCAGTCTACTATCACCCGAGTCAGTCTAATATCACCGGAGTCAGTCTACAATCACCGGAGTCAGTCTACCATCACCCGAGTCAGTCTACCATCACCGGAGTCAGTCTACAATCACCGGAGTCAGTCTACAATCACTGGAGTCAGTCTACTATCACCCGAGTCAGTCTACTATCACTGCAGTCAGTGTACAATCACCGGAGTCAGTCTACAAACACCGGAGTCAGTCTACTATCACCGGAGTGAGTCTACTATCACCGGTGTCCGTCTACTATCACTGGAGTCAGTCTACTATCACCGAGTCAGTCTACAATCACCGGAGTCAGTCTACTATCACCGAGTCAGTCTACAATCACCGGAGTCAGTCTACTATCACCGGAGTCAGTCTACAATCACCGGAGTCAGTCTACTATCACCGGAGTCAGTCTACTATCACTGGAGTAAGTCTACAATCATTGGAGTCAGTCTACAAACACCGGAGTCAGTCTACTATCACCGAGTCAGTCTACTATCACCGGAGTCAGTCTACAATCACCGGAGTCAGTCTACTATCACCGGAGTCAGTCTACTATCACAGAGTCAGTCTACTATCACCGGAGTCAGTCTACAATCACCGAGTCAGTCTACAATCACCGGAGTCAGTCTACTATCACCGAGTCAGTCTACTATCACCGGAGTCAGTCTACAATCACCGGAGTCAGTCTACTATCACCGGAGTCAGTCTACTATCACCGAGTCAGTCTACAATCACCGGGAGTCAGTCTACAACACCGGAGTCAGTCTACTATCACCGGAGTGAGTCTACTATCACCGGTGTCCGTCTACTATCACTGGAGTCAGTCTACTATCACCGAGTCAGTCTACAATCACCGGAGTCAGTCTACTATCACCGAGTCAGTCTACTATCACCGGAGTCAGTCTACAATCACCGGAGTCAGTCTACTATCACCGGAGTCAGTCTACTATCACCGAGTCAGTCTACAATCACCGGAGTCAGTCTACAAACACCGGAGTCAGTCTACTATCACCGGAGTGAGTCTACTATCACCGGTGTCCGTCTACTATCACTGGAGTCAGTCTACTATCACCGAGTCAGTCTACAATCACCGGAGTCAGTCTACTATCACCGAGTCAGTCTACAATCACCGGAGTCAGTCTACTATCACCGGAGTCAGTCTACAATCACCGGAGTCAGTCTACTATCACCGGAGTCAGTCTACAATCACCGGAGTCAGTCTACTATCACCGGAGTCAGTCTACTATCACCCGAGTCAGTCTACAATCACCGGAGTCAGTCTACTATCACCGGTGTCAGTCTACTATCACCGAGTCAGTCTACAATCACCGGAGTCAGTCTACTATCACCGGAGTCAGTCTACTATCACTGGAGTAAGTCTACAATCATTGGAGTCAGTCTACAAACACCGGAGTCAGTCTACTATCACTGGAGTCAGTCTACTATCACTGGAGTAAGTCTACAATCATTGGAGTCAGTCTACAAACACCGGAGTCAGTCTACTATCACCGAGTCAGTCTACTATCACCGGAGTCAGTCTACAATCACCGGAGTCAGTCTACTATCACCGGAGTCAGTCTACTATCACAGAGTCAGTCTACTATCACCGGAGTCAGTCTACAATCACCGAGTCAGTCTACAATCACCGGAGTCAGTCTACTATCACCGAGTCAGTCTACTATCACCGGAGTCAGTCTACAATCACCGGAGTCAGTCTACTATCACCGGAGTCAGTCTACTATCACAGAGTCAGTCTACTATCACCGGAGTCAGTCTACTATCACCCGAGTCAGTCTAATATCACCGGAGTCAGTCTACAATCACCGGAGTCAGTCTACCATCACCCGAGTCAGTCTACCATCACCGGAGTCAGTCTACAATCACCGGAGTCAGTCTACAATCACTGGAGTCAGTCTACTATCACTGCAGTCAGTCTACTATCACCCGAGTCAGTCTACTATCACTGCAGTCAGTGTACAATCACCGGAGTCAGTCTACAAACACCGGAGTCAGTCTACTATCACCGGAGTGAGTCTACTATCACCGGTGTCCGTCTACTATCACTGGAGTCAGTCTACTATCACCGAGTCAGTCTACAATCACCGGAGTCAGTCTACTATCACCGAGTCAGTCTACAATCACCGGAGTCAGTCTACTATCACCGGAGTCAGTCTACTATCACCCGAGTCAGTCTACAATCACCGGAGTCAGTCTACAAACACCGGAGTCAGTCTACTATCACTGGAGTCAGTCTACTATCACTGGAGTATGTCTACAATCATTGGAGTCAGTCTACAAACACCGGAGTCAGTCTACTATCACCGGAGTCAGTCTACTATCACTGCAGTCAGTCTACTATCACCGGTGTCAGTCTACTATCACCGAGTCAGTCTACAATCACCGGAGTCAGTCTACAAACACCGGAGTCAGTCTACTATCACTGAGTCAGTCTACAATCACCAGAGTCAGTCTACTATCACAGAGTCAGTCTACAATCACCGGAGTCAGTCTACTATCACCGGAGTCAGTCTACAATCACCGGAGTCAGTCTACTATCACCGGAGTCAGTCTACAATCACCGGAGTCAGTCTACAAACACCGGAGTCAGTCTACAATCACCGGAGTCAGTCTACTATCACTGCACTCAGTCTACTATCACCCGAGTCAGTCTACAATCACCGGAGTCAGTCTACTATCACCGGAGTCAGTCTACTATCACTGGAGTCAGTCTACTATCACCGAGTCAGTCTACAATCACCGGAGTCAGTCTACTATCACCGGAGTCAGTCTACTATCACTGGAGTCAGTCTACAATCATTGGAGTCAGTCTACAAACACCGGAGTCAGTCTACCATCACCCGAGTCAGTCTACCATCACCGGAGTCAGTCTACTATCACCCGAGTCAGTCTAATATCACCGGAGTCAGTCTACAATCACCGGAGTCAGTCTACCATCACCCGAGTCAGTCTACCATCACCGGAGTCAGTCTACAATCACCGGAGTCAGTCTACAATCACTGGAGTCAGTCTACTATCACCCGAGTCAGTCTACTATCACTGCAGTCAGTGTACAATCACCGGAGTCAGTCTACAAACACCGGAGTCAGTCTACTATCACCGGAGTGAGTCTACTATCACCGGTGTCCGTCTACTATCACTGGAGTCAGTCTACTATCACCCGAGTCAGTCTACAATCACTGGAGTCAGTCTACTATCACCGGTATCAGTCTACCATCACCGGAGTCAGTCTACAATCACCGGAGTCAGTCTACAAACACCGGAGTCAGTCTACTATCACTGGAGTCAGTCTACTATCATCGGAGTCAGTCTACTATCACCGGAGTCAGTCTACTATCACCCGAGTCAGTCTACTATCAGCGGAGTCAGTCTACTATCACCGGAGTCAGTCTACCATCACCGGAGTCAGTCTACTATCACCGAGTCAGTCTACTATCACCGGAGTCAGTCTACAATCACCGGAGTCAGTCTACTATCACCGGAGTCAGTCTACAATCACCGGAGTCAGTCTACTATCACCGGAGTCAGTCTACTATCACTGGAGTCAGTCTACAAACACCGGAGTCAGTCTACAATTACTGGAGTCAGTCTACTATCACTGCAGTCAGTCTACTATCACCCGAGTCAGTCTACAATCACCGGAGTCAGTCTACTATCACCCGAGTCAGTCTACTATCACCCGAGTCAGTCTACAATCACTGAAGTCAGTCTACTGGAGTCAGTCTACTATCACCGGAGTCAGTCTACTATCACCGGAGTCAGTCTACTATCACCGGAGTCACTCTACAATCACTGCAGTCACTCTACAATCACTGCAGTCACTCTCCCATTTCCTGCACAGGGAGCAGGAAGTATTTATTTTCCCCCCCAATTCTCACTTGTATCATTTTGTCGTAAATCCCTTTCTTTCAAAGAGAAGGAGGAAACAGAGCGGTTCTCAGAAACCCTACACGGCTGTGTGGCACGAAGGTAAAATTCCTGGCGTGTGCCCTGACCAGGACCCCGAAATCCCATCGCGGCCCCTTCCCTGAAAACAGGGCTCACACGGTCAATGGGCCATTTTGCATTTTCCCATCAGCCGCCCATGGAGCCTTCCCCAGCCAGGGCGTCGATGTCACCGATGTCACCATGCGTCTGCCTGTCTGTCACAACCCTCGCTGGGGGGAATTGTGTCCCCTGACCCCACTTCAGAAAGGAAGAGAATGCCAGGCATCTCCAAGGCGGACAAGCCGTCAGAAGTCAAGCAGGATCCTTCACAGAGAGTCAATCAACAAGCGCGCCAACTCTTTAAAGATAAATAAGTAGAAAGCCATGCTGGATCTGACTTCAAATTTCATACAACCAACTCGGGATTTGGGGAGACCTGAGGTCAAAGTGGGGGGGTGTCCCCAGTGCAATGCATTGTCACAAGTGCCACCAGGGACAGGGAGGTGACCCCAAGGGCCATGACTCACCGGCCATGGCGAAGGTGCAGTGGACACTGGGCCCCGGGCGCAATGGGCGGACTGTGCGAGGCCTGTGGGGGACAGGGTGACCCTGAAAGCCTGACCCGTCCCCATGACCTCTCTGTGACTCCTGGTGACACCCCGGGGCAGCCTGCGCCCCCAAACCTGGAGGGACCTGGGGGTCAATTCTGCACCCGCAGACCAATCTGCACCCCAAGTCTCCTCTGCACCCCAAACCTCTCTGCACCCCCAGCTCCCTCCCCCGAGCCCCGGGCTCAGGCCTCGCCCCTCCCCATGCACCCCAAAATCTCCTCCCCTCCCCCCTCAACCTCCCTCACTACCCTCCGCCTCTGCACCCCTCGTGCCCTCCACGCTGGGCCAAGCTGTGTCCCCCCGTCCTTCAGCAGGTCCCATGCTGCAATGCACCCCAAACCTCCTCGGCCCCACAGCCCCTGCGCCCCAAAACTCCCCCTCCCCGCGCAGCGCTCCACCCCCTGCACCCTGAGCCCGGCCGGGTGCCCAGGCCTCCACCCCGCACCCCTGCACCCCGAAACCTCCCACGCACTCGAAAGCCTCAGCCCCTGCCAAGCTTGGGGGGCCCGCACCCCGCGATTGGCTTCCGGCGGGAAAGGAAACGGGGCTCCCCCTCTGCGCTGCTGCAGCCCCGGGCCTGGGAGGAGCCGCGCACGCGCAGTCCCGTGCGCAGCTGGGGAGGGCGGGGCTGGGTGGGGCCAGTTGCCTGTCACTCACGCTGAAGCCCCGCCCCCACGTACCACGCTGGGTACCTGGTTGGACGTTCAAAGTTTAGTCGGCCTGTCAGTTACTGGTCAGTCCCGCCCCCTCCCCTCCCCAATGGGTCCCTGCATTGGAACAGTTAACTTTTAACCGGTCCGTCACTCACTCTGCAGCCCGCCCCCTCCACTCCGCTCGGTCCGCGGGTTGGACGTTGGCCTGTCACTCACTCTGCAGCCCCGCCCCCTCCCCTTCACCTGGGTCGCCGGTTGCACAGTTCACCTTCACTAGGGCTGTCACTCACTCTGCAGCCCGCCCCCTCCACTCCGCTCAGTCCGTGGGTTGGACGTTGGCCTGTCACTCACTCTGCAGCCCCGTCCCCTCCCTCCCGCTTGGTCCATGCCTTGGACATTTGACCTTTAACCTGCCAGCGCGGTGTCCTTGGCTGCTGTCACCTCTACTAGGACCGGGGCCGGGTGCAGAGCTGTTGGATGCACGGTGACAGAAGGACAGACCTGTCCGTGCGTGCGTGCATGAAGGACGGAAGGGAGAAACAGATGGAGCACGCCCGTGACCGGCCTCAGGCCCCCCATGCAGGCCCGCGACACCCCAGAAACCACCTGAGCCGCAGGAGAAAAAGGATCAAGAAGAAGTAAGGGACGCTGAGCCCAAATCGGGGTGTCCAGACCCTAGATCGGGGGGACCCGGCCGTAAGGGCAGCCTGGGGCCAGTTTTGGGGTGTGGGGGAGGAGGACCTGGCCCTGACGTCACTCACGAAAACTGGGGTGGTTGAATGACTGAATGAGTGACTCTGTGAATGGGAGTGAAATGGAGGTGAATGGGCCAATCAGCGAGCGGATGAAGAGATAATGAGCAAGGGAAGCAGCCAATCAGGTTGCGGGCGACTTAGGGGCGGGTCACGTGAGCCAAATGAGCGAATGAGCGACAGCCGGCCTGAGGCGGGAATAAATGAGTGGATGAATCAGCACTGCACAGCCGGCAGGGAAATGATGAATGAATGCGTCCAACGCACGATGAATGAATGAGTGACGGTAAAAGGAGCGAGGCAGTGTGTGTTTGAGTGAATGAGTGAGGGAATGCAAGATTAAAAGCACTCATGAGTGAAGGGAGCAGAAGATGGGCAAAAATGCAAGCGGGAAGGAATGGCTGGAGGAATTCAGGCTGCGGGATGGGTGACACAATGCATGTGTGTGTGTTTGATGAATGAATGATTGATTGACTATGTGCATGTTTGATGAATGAATGAATGACCGTGTGAATGGGGCCGTATGCTGCAAAATCCAAGCTCCTCACAGGAGCTAGTTTTGGGGTGTGTGGGGTGATAGACACCAAGCCAGGGTTGGACTGGTCCTCACAATATGTCCCCAAAGCCTCCTGGGGACCATCCCGTCCTCATAGACAAATGCTGCTGGTAAATCATTGAGGCCACCAGGCAGCCGGGGACATTTGTGACTCAGCAGAGGGAGGTGACATTGTTTTTCTGCAGACAGTCTGTCCCCACGCTGCTAAAATGACCCTGTGACAATGGAGTTACGTCCCAGGGAATATTACTAGGGCAGGAAGAGTATGGGTAGTTTGCACATTTGCTGTAAAAAAATCCGCGTTAATTTAGTATTATTTTCTGGCTTACATAGAATGAATATATTGAGAAAAAATTATACCAATGGTAATTTGTTAACGTCAGGACCAGGGTATTTGAACACCCTTTTTACGTAATCACGGACTTCCTTTGGCTCCAACATCCGGTCATTCATTTATTAAGCACTTATTAATCACCGACTGCATACTGGTCACTACGTAGGAGCTGGACAGAAGTCCACGGGGCTGTCAGGTCAGCTTTCTGGTGAAAAGGGAGTCAAAGAGCAAACCATGAAAAATCTGGGTGTTGATGGTCCCGCAAAGGACCATGGGTAGAAGGTTTGGTTCCCAGCCAGGGTCTATTGAGAGGTGGTGGGGCCTTTAAGGGGCGGGGCCTAGGGGAAGGCTGTGAGGTCATTGGGGGCGTGGCCTTGGAGGGATGATTGATGGCATCGCTTACTGGGCCGCTGGGAGGTGGTGGAGCCTTCAGGGGGCGTGGCCTAGGGAGGAAGTGAAGTCATCGGGGGCGTGGCCTGGAGGGGTATATAAGGTGCTGCACCAGCGCGGGCTCTGTGATTCCGCCACCCTCTTTGCTCGGTGCGGATGTCCTTGTCCTAAATTGGTGTCGCTTTGTGGTTTTTTTTTTTTTTTTGTTCTCTTTTCTGGAGCCATTTCCTGCTCTCTTTCATGAAGCCTTATGAACCAAATGTAGAAAACACAGGCAAACCAAGTGTTTTCCTCCTTCTGTGTTCACGGACGGACTTTTTATTTGTGCCGACGTCGGGATTCGAACCCAGATCCCGGGTTCCACCAGCTGATCACGTGGTTTTAACCCGGAGCAACCCTCTTCCCCATTCGGGGCCCCGTGTAGGATTTTTCTTTAGGAACTCGGATTGCGGGGAATCTCCTAGCTATGGCAGAGTCTAAAAAAAAGTGATTTAAATGACAGCATTTTGCCCAAATCCCGGTTTCCTGTCCCTAAAACGAGAAACAGACACAGCTCGGCGACTGTGGGACCTGGAAAGATGGAGGATTTTTCTCCTTCACCAAAGAGAAAAAGCTGCAAAGATGGGAAGTGACAGAGACCAGACTAAATAAATAAATCGGACAGGAAAAAAAAAAAAAAAACAGAAATGGGGGAAAAAGCGGGTTTTGCAAATCATGTCAGTTATCTGGAGGGGGAAAAAATGTGGCAAGGGGTGGTTTTAGGGTCGAAAATATGCATTTAAAGTGACCACATTCCAGCCTGATTACCTAAAGGGAATAATTTTCTTTTTTCGATCAAATTCACCAAAAAAAAAGCAGACCCCCAACTTCCACGGGGTAGATTTTGGGGCCGGAGAGGTAACTGGCGGTCTGTCTGTGGGGTCGGTAGTCGGGGTCCTCCGGGTGCCTGTGGGGTTCGGACGCGTCTATGCGGCCTCTGCATCTGGAAGGGAATATTAGAAGGGGGAGAAAAAGGTCCGCGGTCACTTTTTTGTTCCTTTGCGTTTCTTTGCAGGTTCTTGGCAGCTGAGATTTTGTGCTATGTGACTGACTATTGGACGCCCTCCCCGGCCCTCCGCTTTTTCATGTCGTCTGGGACACTGGGCCCAGGCTGGCTTTGAACCCGCGTCTCCGAGGAGCTGGGATTGCAGGCGTCACCTCCCCGCCCCGTCCACCCGGTCAGTTTGGGGCCGGGCTCACCGCCGGTGTCGCGCAGGCAGGCCGCCCGGCGGCTGGACTTGAAGTAGGTGACGCCGGCCCCGACCAGGGCCACCACCACCACGGACACGATCGGTGACACGATCCTGGCCACAGGGCTGCCTGCGAGGCGGGAGAGGCCGGGGGACGCGGACGGACGGACAGACAGACGGGGGACACTGAGAAGTCACAGGGCCCGCCGCCTCCCCAGGACCCCAAAACCCTGGACCCCACGGCGGTCGCTACCTGAGGAGCCGTCGTAGCTGGCCGCGTCGTCACCATCTGGGGGACGGGGACACGGGGATGTCACCGACGGACGGACGCACGGACGGACACAGGTGACACACGGACACACAGACGGACAGACAGACAGATGAGCCACAGCCAGAACGATGGGAAATCCCTGGTGTGCCTGTGACTGGGTGAGAGAGACAGACGGACACACGGACGGACAGACACGAGCAGACAGATAACAGACCAGACAGGTAGATGGACAGGCAGACGGATGGACTGAGGACGGACAGACAGATAACAGATGGACAGACAGACAGACAGATGGACGGATGGACAGAAGGACAGATAGATGATGGATCCACAGGCACACAGACAGATGGACAGACAGACGGACAGATGGACGGATGAACAGACAGATGGACAGACGCACAGACGCACAGAGAGATGACGGACAGACATGCACAGACGGATGGACACACAGACGGACAGACTGCCGATGGGTGGACAGGCACACGGATGGACAGGCGGACAGATGACGGACACACGGATGGACGGACAGACAGGCGCAGTCGGGGACCCAGCAGAGCTGACCACAGGGGCCAGGGGACCGGACGTGTCACCCCTGCCTGTCACCCCCGTGACCCCCCATGACCCCCAGGGCCACCGCCCGCACCGCGGGAGCCGAAGCGGGTTTGAGGGGCGTTAGTGGGGTGACCCGCGGGTCCCCGCGCAGGTCTGGGTCACAAGTGCCACCCCGAGGTGGCGGCGCAGGTGACACCTGGAATCCCAAATTTACAGACCTTTCTTCCTCATTGCCTGTCTGAAAAACCGTCACTCAGTCACTCAACAAACACCTAACCTGCCCCAGACTGAAGACGCTGAGGTTTGTGACACCAAATGGAGTCACGCTCGTCCTGCCGAGAAGCCCAGGTGTCACCTGGAGCCCGACGGGTGACGCGTGACAAGGATGACGTCACACGGCCATCAGCGTCCCCCAAAACCACAGCGCCGTGTGCTCGAGGCCAAGGCTGACCGGAAGGTGACAAAGTGACACTGTGCGGCCGCGTTGGCCGGGGACCTGAGCCAGTCAGGTGGTGACAACGTGTGACGTCAGCCGCACAACAGTGGAGTCACTGTCAAGCTGCTCAGCTGCTCCGTGAATGAAAATTCTTTTAAGAGCTGACTTGGTGATTGACTGACTGACTGACTGTTCAGTTGAGAGACTGTGTAGTTGACTGACTGACCGACCATTCAATTGAGTGATTGACTGACTGTTCAGTTGAGTGACTGACTGACCGTTCAGTTGAGAGATTGTTGGTTGAGTGACTAACTGACTGTTCAGTTGAGTGACTGTGTAGTTGACTGACTGACTGACCATTCAATTGAGTGACTA